CCCGATGGAATCATCAGGGAACCCCTTATGGAATCATCAGGGAACCACGAATGGAACCACCAGGAAACCACCCATGGAACCACTGGGAAACCCCTCATGGAATTATTGGGGAACCACCCATGGAACCACTGTGGAACCACCAAAGGAATGATCGGGAAACCCCCCATGGAATGTCAGGGAATCAGCAGGGAACCTCTGGGGAACCCCCCTAGGAATCATCAGGGTACCCCCCATTGAATCATCAGAGAACCACCAATGGAACCACTGGGAAACCCCCATGGAATCATTGGGGAACCACCCATGGAACCACTGTGGAACCGGCAAAGGAATGATCGGGAAACCCCCCATGGAACCACTGGGGAACCCCACATGGAATCATCGGGGAACCCCCATGGAACCACTGGGGAACCCCTCATGGAACCACTGGGGAACCCCACATGGAATCATTGGGGAACCCCCATGGAACCACTGTGGAACCCCTCATGGAACCACTGGGGAACCCCCCATGGAACTACTGGGGAACCACCCATGGAACTAGGGGTGTAAATCACACCCAGCATGGCGATTCGATTCAGTATCGATTCCCTGACCCAATGAATCGATTATTTTCTATACTCAAGAATACACCACGATACGTTTCGATTCAATTAATTGGTTCATTTTTTTTTACCTTACAAGCTAGACAATGTTTCAAATTTGAAATAAATCAATAAAAGCTGTAATATCATTATGCATTTTATTTGAGAAACAACTGCAAATATCAGAAGTAGAAAAGGTGCACTCCACCTATTCCTGTTAAAACCTCATTCACTGAAAAGTCATAATACCCCCTGCGTTATAGATTCTGAAAGGCTGAAAGGAAGTACAAAATCAGTGCAATGAGTGCAATTCAATACCTCGGCTCCAGACGTCCCTGCCCCCTCCACAAAAACTCAGCTGCACCTCTCCCAAATTGTAGCTGACCGCAGACAGGAGGCCGGCTTGTTTTGTTTTTATGACCGAAATTGCGGAAAACAACTTGTGAAGTGTGAGCGCTAGAAGAGAGAGGTGCGCAAAAACACTGGGACCCTTTTTGGCCCTCATGTCCCTCCGTCACCGGACTAAACTCGCCCCCACTTCCTCACCGCCTCGGCTGTATCTAGACCCACAGTGTGTAACGCAGACCACGCTTCAATATGAGCATACCGTAAATTCTCTAATATTTTCCTGTATTCTATTAGCGGCCGGGACTCTAACATTGGCCGGTCTCGCTGTCAGAGGAGGTAAATAATGTCCGGTCTCTCATACAGGCCGGGGCTATAAACGTTTTTTCTGGGCATACCTCAACATTATACTTGTGGTAGTAACATACAAGTACCACAGCCCTGCGCTGCTGGACGACAGGCCCTGACTGCTGCCCGTCTGCGTGAGGAAGAGAACAGACACGCAGCAGAACATGAGGAGGACGAAGAGGAACTGTACAATAATGAACTTGTTATAGAGACTGGCGCGAGTGATGAGGAGATTAAAGGGAGAGATGAAGAGGAGGAGGAAACTGAGGAGGAGGATTAAACAGAATTGGAGGAATTTTTTTTTTTTACTTCAAACCAAGCGAGACATGGTAACTGTACTTTTTCAATAAAGGAACCTAGTGTTTTATAGGTTCAAATAGACACAAAATCTCATTTTTATTCATTCCACTGGTAGTCTGTTTTGCTCAAATAGCAATAGAGGCCTGTCTCTAATTCTGGCCTCTTTCCAATAAAGGCCTGGACCGCGATGCACTTGAGTGAAATAAAGGCCCGGGCCTATATTAGAGGATTTACGGTAAATCAAAAATGTCTGTGTCAAAGTCACTGCAACAAACTGCTGTACGAGTATAACCAGGAAGCGAGGTAGGGGGGCAAAATAGGATTAGCGCCACCGCAGCATGGGAGGGAGAATTACGTCCACGGGCAAATGGATAAAAATAGACCGGAGGAAAAAAAAAAAATACATGAATCGATACTCTTGCGGACGTATCGATTGATCTGATCGTCGGCTGTTGGATCGATGCATCGATACAAAACGATTATTATTTACACCCCTAGTTGTTATCTGTATTTAATTTTTATTGACCAAAATTGTTAATTAAATTTGTTTTCATGTCTACAGGGTCTTTTTGGAATTATCAATGTCGTTCTTTGGCAGGGTCTTGGAAATAGAGATTTTTAATCTCCATGGAATCAACCTGAATGATTATAACATGCATAACCCTTTTAACATTGTCCTAATTCTTTTCATTTTTCACTTTCCACTGCACATTAAATAAAAACATTTACATACACTCAACATAAATATAAACTCAACACTTTTTGTTATGCTCAAATTTTTTATGAGATTTTTTTCCATATACGCAATATCACCACTTCACTCAAATATTGTCTACAAACTAGTCTAAATCTGTGATAGTAAGTACTTATCCTTTTTGAGATAATCCATCCCACTTCACAGGTGTGCCATATTGAGATGCTGATTAGACACATGTAGGAGTTTGCCCTGAAATCGAAGGGTTGACGGTTCAAGCCCCGACTCCGACTTTCAGTGTTGTTGTGTCCTTGGGCAAGACACTTCACCTGCATTGTCTACTGATGGTGGCCTGGTGGTGCCAGTGTACGGCAGCCCCGCTTCTGTCAGTGAGCCCCAGTGCAGCTGTGGCTACAATGTAACTTGCTGCCGTGAGTGTGTGCGTGAATGGGTGAATGAATGTAGTGTAAAGCGCTTACAAGTTTTCTTTGTTTTTGCCATTGACTTAGTCCTGGCATCCCCAAAGTAGCTTTCCTGCAGGTTTTAGAGGTTTCTCTGCTTTAGCAGAGCTCATTCTGATGATTGCAGTTTAGCAAAAGCCTGTTAATTAACTATCAATGTAAATCAGTAGGGAAACATCTAAACCTCTAGAGCAGAGAAACCTCTAAAACCTGCAGGGCAGGGGCCCTCGAGGACCGACTCTGGGGATGCCTGACTTAGTCGTTTATGCTTTGTGTCCTCCCTTAAGCTTGCCTTAAAGCACTTACAGAATGATGTAATGCCCTTCAGTATAATTCACTACAGCTCAAGCCTGTTCTTGATCTTTCTAAGAAAAAGTTTGACTTTCAGAAACTAAGATTAGAACACATACTATTCCTGATGTAGTTGCTTTAGGTGGGATAAAAGTTCCTAAACCTCTGCATCCTAATTGATCACTCCTTCACTGTAAAAAAAAAAAAAAAAAAAGTTGAGACTGAAACTGGGTACTTTATGGCAATTAACAGTTCTTAACTGTGCTTGTGTATGCTTCTGCCCATCGCCTTCACTAGATTAACACAACTTTTTATTTTGCACCGTTTTGCCAAGACCACATAAGATTGGAACAAAGTGTTATAATGCACTTAGATATAATTTAGTGATTATTCTGATTCACCAGTATTGTATCACTTGTACAAAAGAAAACATATATGGATACATGGACCTCCCTGACGTAGGAGGTAACCACTACCCCTGAGGAAAACATCATTCAAAAAAACAAAAAAAAAAATAAAGTTCCTGAACTTTATTGACCTTACACTAAAACTGATGATGCATTTACAGTAGTTAGCATTAAGGAGGTGCAGAGGCATAGTAAAACTACTGATATGTAAACGTGCCTCAGCTGTCTACATGAAACAGCTGTACACATTCTGACATTGAAGACTCTAAACTTATTTCTTACATGCTTTTTCTGAAAGTCTTTTTACAAATAAAAGCACTTTAAAATTAAGTCTGGTGTTTAATAAAAACTTTTGCATTACTGCTACATTATATAAATGTGAACTTCACTGTCTTATATTCCATTTTTACCAGTTTTGCTTAGTAATTATTACGAGAGATTATAAGGCATAATTGTTCAGTTTTAGACATAGTTTCAGCTACACTTGATAAAAAAAAAACATTAACCTCTGAGGAAGAAGAGATGTATTTGACTGGTTGCTTAAGTTTGTAACAAAATGTACAATATATGTCGCCATAATCTGAAAAAGATTTTTTTTTTTCAACTGCCAAAAGACAACTATCAGGCAGCAGTAATATATCATATTACAATTAAAATTGGATATTTACATACACTGTATAAATACACAAGTAACCCGTTCTTTGTATGGATAGGCAACAAAATAAAATGCCAACACAATGAGTCATTTTTTTTTTTTATGGAATTGACATTTTCTCATTGTTTGGTAGCATTGCCTATTTTCAAAGTTGATATTAGAACTTGCCCTGCGATGGACTGGCGACCTGTCCGGGGTGTGCCCCGCCTCTCACCCATTGACTGCTGGAGATAGGCACCAGCACCCCTCGCGACCCCATTCGGGACAAGCATGTAAGAAAATGGATGGATGGATGGATGGATGGATATTAGAATATTTTTCATAATATTATGCTGGAATTCCTCCTGAAAAAAAATGTGTGATTGAATTGGGTATGAGAGTTTCTTTGAGTATTTTTAACAGAATACTATTAAGTCATTTTTTTGTATCTCCTGGCTCAAAAGCTTTGGACTCTCCGCCTATGTGATTACAAGTCCATTATGTTTCATGGATATTACAACTATTAGCTGCTTAATTAATCTTTTTTAGAAGGTCTTTTGTTTTTCTTTGTGAGTTTATATCACTAAAATATGTTCATCTATGGGGAAGAGAAGCTATTATGTTTGATAATGGTGCAATGGCCGGACAGTCCCAGGGTGTTTATACAGTACTTGCAAATTATTGTTCGCACTGCTGAACAGGGAACCTTTCTATTATATGGAAATACAGAAATAAAAAGACAAGCAGTCATGCACACACACTGACTCATCAGAGCAATTAAAAAAACACTGTTATTGTTAACAACATAAAACCTGTCTTTATACAGTGTATGGAAATGTTTTACTTAAACACACAGTGTGTTTTTTTTCTTTTTCTAAGAGACAGGTTGGTAATGTTTGTAGAGTTCTTAGAAGGTGTATTCCTTGTAAGCAGTGGTTTAATTAGTTTTTGTGAAGTGATAATATAATCACTTCACAAAAACTCTAATGTCATCAAAAATAATAATAATTCTGTGTGTCTTTAACTATAAATGTGTACCTCGGCCAATAGAAAGAAAAACACAACACAAACCAGAACTGGTAAAAAAAAAAAAAAAAACTCATCTCCTGAATCTGTGGCGTGTTGTTGCACTACAATCCTGCTGCTCATTTAGAAGGATCTAGGTCTTTGATGACAGGTTCTCTGTTTAGGTAGGTGGCCCAGTAGACCAGATTGAAGGTGCCAAACAACACAGGAAACATAATACGGGAGATGCGGTCAATTTTGCTGACGCTGTTAAAGGTTTTCTTGTTCTGCTCAGGCTTCAACTCTGCTATGATCTTGTTGGGCTCGTTCAGAGTGCACTTGGAGATGGTGGGCAGCGTGGAGTCTTTGGTAATGTTGGGCGCATAGTTTGCCACAGCAACAGCATAGGCGTTGTTCTTCTTCATAACAGCAGCTTCTTTTTTCTAAATGCAGATTAAAAAGCACGGTAGATTACTTTTTCACCAATAAAACCTTTTCCTGATATGAGGGTTATGTTTCCATTTTATTGAAAATAAAAGATCCAATAATAAAACAAGATCCAAACAGCCCCCAGCCAAAACAATTAACTT